CTACTTACTTGTTTTGTTAAATTCCAAAATCATGGAAACGATTGAACAGATTCTAATGAAATTTAGTACTTGTCTTAATCTCATTATACATCTCGTTTAAAACCTTAGGAAGCAAATTTTCGCAAAGATAAGTTAAAGTTTATTTTTGGTTGTTTTGTTTTAGAGTAGTTTTTTTTTTGGTCTATGCAAGTTCCTTGTAAAGGAATTCGTCTGACCTGTTTTTCTGAAAATAATAGACTTAATAACATATTTCTAGGCAAAAAAAAAACATTTTTTTTAATGCCAGTAGTAATTTTTTTTAATTTTTTTTTTCATTTTTTTTTTTTTTTTTGTTATAAATTAGTCTAAAATTATGTAACTTTCGAATTGCATGAATTTAATAAAATTTTAATTGGGTATCCGGTGACTTCCAGTATTCTGTAAGGCCGTGGTATCACTCCGGTCGAGCTGGCTCATTCGTGCCGAAGCATGGCTCTCCCACACTTATTTTATATGTAGCTGTGTTTGATTTCTTTTTAATAATTTCTAGTGCATGTTTGCATAAAATATAGTTTGCATTTGTTTTCTTTTTTAATACGTGCATTAATTTAATATAGTCATACGAACGTATCAACTTTATAACTGATTTATAGATTATTTAGACTAGATTTTAATTTAATATAGGTACAGCTCATTATTTTTAACGAGGAACATATACAAGGAGCCGATTCTGGTTGTCATATAAAACAACTTTTTCAATAAGACCAATATGGAAAACTCAAAAAAAATAATTTCTCATGCAAAATAATCAATCAGCTGTTTTGATTTGTATGGGGAAATAAATTTGTTGTTGATATTTCGATATTTGTGCCATGGAAAATGTTGTTGTAACTCCCCCCCTCCACTCCCCCAATCCCTAAATCTCCAAATCCCTAATCCCCAAAAGATCGGCTACGCACTCGTACCTCCTCTTTTGCGGGTGTCCATGGGCGGCGCTGATTGCTTACCATCAGCTAATCCGTATGCAGGTTTGCCGCCCTATTACATAATATTACAAAAATTGAGCACCAAAATTGACTCCTTAAATATGTCCATCGTTCATATTAACATTCTGTAAGTATAATAACAGTGGTTTGTAGACCTCAGTTTAAAAGGTTCAGGTGTGAGAGCGCCCGGTCTCCGTCTAATGTTGTCCTTTAGTCAGCTCTTCCGACATCATCATCATCCACATCATCAATCATCATCATCATCATCAGCAGGGCGAAGACAGTCCGCTGTTGGACTGTAGGCCTCCTCTACATAAGAAGGATACTCCATACTTTATCACCAACTTTGGCAATGTAATGGTCAGAAGATAAAAGGTTGTGAGTTAAGCAATTACATACCGCGGCTTCGGCCTAAAGCAGGAACGGGGTTGTTTTTAGTCAGTAAGAGTCTGAGACTCCCTTTCGCCTCACTTCGTCGGCAGCCTATAAGTGCCCACTGCTGAGCAAAGGCCTCTTCTCACACGGAGAAGGTTTGAGCATTAACCACCACGCTTGCTCAATGCGGGTTACTTCGCCTCACTTAAGGCGGGCGAAGGGTGACATTCGTTACTCAAAAAACGTTTTCTGAAATCGGAAAAGGAGAATCCTCAGACTAGGTGAGGTGATATTGGCTTACGAGCTACTACCAATCCTGGCCCATAGTAGGGAAAGGGATGGGGTGGTTTTTAGTCAGTAAGAGTCTGACACTCCCTCTCGCAACGAAATCATTAAATGATTGTTATTCTTTACGTGAAAGGAAGGTTATTTTTTATGACATAGGTCGGCAAACGAGCAGACGAATTACCTGATGGTAAGCAATCAGCGCCGCTCATGGACACCTGTAACACCAGAAGAATTAAGAATGTGTTGTCAACCTTTTGGGATTAGGATTCCGGAGATATTTGATTTCAAGAGGGGAAGGATTCTCCAAGTACGCCGGTTTCCCCTTATCCCCAAAAGATCGGCAACGCACTGGTAACTCTTCTGATGTTGCAGGTCTCCATGGGCGGCGTTGATTGCTTACCATCAGGTAATCAGATATTGTATATTTAAAAAAACACGATAGACGGATAGATATTACCTGATGGTAAGCAATCAGCGCCGCCCATGGAAACTTGCAACATCTGTGGAGTTACCAGTGCGTTGCCGACCTTTTGGGAATTGAGGAAGTGGAGATTAGGTAGGGAATGGGGGAGGGGAAAGATTGGGCCTCCGGTAACCTTACTCACACGGCGAAACACAACTCTGTGTTTGATTCACGGTTTGATTCACGCCGGTTTTCTGTGAGGCCGTGGTAGTACTTTTGTAATTGTAATGTTATACCTCAACAATGACTTTACCGATTTGGCTTAGTATTGAATTATTCGTGGAAGTCCAGACAAAGGGACGTAAAGAGATTGTACTAAGAGAAAAATAAAAAAAAAACCCTGAAAATTTGTAAAATCGACATGCACGCAGTCGGATCGCGGGCCACCGGTAGTAGTATTATAAATTTTGTATACCTATCGCTAAAGAAAATTGGTAAAACATGACACAATTACTTTATATCGCAATTCATTTGTTTAACATGCGACGGTAATATTTATCTAAACAATGTTTTAAGTAAATATTATGACACTACAATATTATTTACATACTTGTTACATCAACTCACTTCGCTTCCTGAAAAGATCAACGATCTAAGAATGTATGTGACTAGCTACTCTCACGCGGTTTCACCCGCTGCTCTGCTCCATTTGATCGTAGCGTGATGTTTTATAGTCTATATTGTAGCTATCTATCAGTGAAAAGAATTTTGGCAATCCGACCAGCGGTTCCAAAGATTACCCCCGACATACAAACTTACACATTTTACCTCTTTATTATATTAAATAGATATAAACTAGCCGTCCGCCCCCACTTCGTATGGGACCAACGATCTCATTCACAACGAAAGGGTCGTGGTCCCGATTTTCCATCTTTACTTTTTTAATATTTTCTTTGATAAGAACCTTCTTCTGACTGTAATGAATACAACAAAAAAAGAATTGTCAAAATTGGTCCAGGCGTTCTTGAGTTATGCGCTTACCAAAACATTTTACGCTTCAATCAATACTAATATTATAAAGAGGTAAAATTTGTAAGTCTGTATGTCCGGGGTAATCTTTGGAACCGTTGGTCGGATTTCCAAAATTCTTTCACTGATAGATAGCTACAATGTTCCCGAGTGCTAGAGGCTATAAAACATCGCGCTACGATCAAAAGGAGCCGAGCAGCGGCTGAAACCGCGGGAGAGTAGCTAGTTTTTTTTTATTCATATATACTCGTAAATTACGAAATCATTCAAAGGTTGATGACCGAACAACCTTCGTTTCTACAAAAATACTCATCCTAATGACTTTGAATCGCTGACGCAATGACTCTATTACCTAAATGATTATTTCCGGGTTTTTTTTTGTTGACATAACATTATGAGGATTCTTAGTAAATATTGTTATTAGTTTGTTTTGATCAAATACAAAAATCTCTACCTACTTATAATTTGTAGTCAAATGTCCATGCAAAAACTACTGGTATAAAATGGCTTTTTTGTGAAGAAAAAATCAAAATCAAAGTCAAAGTCAAAATCATTTATTCCAACTAAACCATAAAAGTACCTAACTTTTGAAACGTTAACTTCGAATCTGTATCCACTGTGCGTAGTAATACACTAGCGCTACACTTGCGAGTTGAACTAAATTGACAGCAACATATTGATAGATAAAGTATGAGATGACGTTAAAAGTGGCATTCTATTATCGACGTTCACTTCACACTCGAACAAGATTCAAAATAAAAAAAAATATAGAATCGACGTGCTAGACTCAAGTTCACAGACGGGGCCCTATAGGGCTGATGTTCAGCCGGGGTTGCAGGGTAAACGCAATGAGGTACCGCAGCGTCGGCCCAGAGCAGGAGAAGGAACGGGAGGTTTTAGTCAGTAAGAGTCTGACACTCTCTCTTGCCTTACCCTGGGCGACAGAAGTAATTAACGGTAAAACGGGGTGATTAGAAAATAGAATTTGAGGGGTGAATACACGAAAGGGGTGAATAGAAGTTGGCGAAATATTCCTTGTATCTATTCACCCCTCTTCCGTGTCTATTTACCCCTCGAATTCTATTCACCCCGTTTTACAGTAGATGATTTTCTCTCGACAAAATAAAATCTGCTTCAGCCATACCGTTTTTATAGCTAAAGCGCCACTGGCGTATACATTGTTTGAATAGAACAGGAATGCTCCAAATCCAAATTAATATTATAAATGCGAAAGTAACTCTGTCTGTCTCTCTGTCTTTTCTTCACGCCTAAACTACTGAACCGATTTCTGTGAAATTTGGTACAGGCATAGTTTGGAACTCGAGAAAGTACATAGGATAGTTTCTTTCTATGCCAAAAATCTGCAGGAAGTCACTAATTCACTATTCCAGCAAAAGCTAGTCTTTTTATATATGGCAATGACATATCATCATCATTGTTATCATCATCATCATCATCATCAAGAGCAGCTGGAGGATAAGGAAATAATGGCCCAAACAATTCTCAATATAAATGATCTCCGGTACCTCGATTACTGTCAGATGCTAAAATCAGTCGGGTTGTCTTTTCCGTAAGCTTAGTTGTAACTAAAATTAGAAACTTAAACACCAACTTAGTTTGAACGAGAAAAATTTTGAACGAGAGACATATTATTCAAGAACCCGATTCTGGTGGTCAAATAAAAAAAATTTTTCAATAAGACCATTACGGAAATCTCAAAAAGACTTTAACTTCTCCATGCAAAATAATCAATGAGCTGTTGCGAGTTGTATAGGGAAATAAATTAACTTTTAACATTTCAATATTGGTTCCATTAAAACAGTTGTTGTTATTAAGCATCAAAATCGACTCCTTCAATATCTCCCTCTTTCAAAATACCACCCTGAATCTATTCGCTAATATTGCGTGTGCCACAGAATACGCTGATTTTCGGCACCGGAATGTTGAAAATGGACAACGAACAGACGGATCACCTGTTGGTAAGCAATCAGCACGACCCATGGACATCCGCAACACCAAAGGATTAACAAATGCGTTGCTGGCTTTCGAAGGGCAGGAATTTATCGCAAGCTGTTTCTAGAAGACCTCAATATAACCCTCATTAAGCTGAACACCATCTAATTGTTATCCTTTCTCAAAACTTACAGGGTAAATTAACGTCTCCCCTACCGGAACCCCCGACCGAGTCGACAGCAACGGATAACCCAGAACCGGTGCCCGGGATATCCGAAGAAGCTTATTTGCAGAGGATACGAGAACTCCAAACATCAAAAGTGCATTTTGGCAAGATTGATAATATGAATTCTATAGCGCTGAGTGATGGAACTAAAATTCCAGTGCTCGCTGTGGGGACAGCTTTGGTGAGTATTATTCATATTATTTTTTATGTGATATGTCGGCAAACGAGCAGACGGATTACCTGATGGTAAGCTATCAACGCCGCCCATGGATAGCAACAGAGGAGTTACGAGTGCTTTGCCGACATATTGGGGATAAGGAATTGGGGGAGGGGAAGGATTGGGCTCCCAGTAACCTCACTCACACGGCGAAACACAACGCTGTGGTTGTTTCACATCGGTTTTCTGTGAGGCCGTGGTATCACTCCGTTCGAGCCGATCCATTCGTTCCGAAGAATTCATAGTATTTATTTGCGATTCACAATGCATTAAACAGGTGTTACTAGAAAACTTAGAGCTAAGTATAATTGTGGACCCTGTAGGGCACAGCCAAATAGACAACTTAACAATCGAAGGCGAAGTATTAGGCCTCCGATAACCTCACTTTGGCGATACACAACGCTCTGAAATGTTTTTAAGACGTTTAAAGAACCACTGCCAAACAAAATGATCTTAATTTTAATTTATTTTAACTCCAGGGCCTACTTAGCAATATTGTCGATACATTTTGAGCTCGAAACTGTCGTACATTTTGGGCCAGTAACTGTGCGTAGTCTTAGGGGTGGAGTGTAGAAGAACTACACTATTACGGGCAATATGAGAAGCAAAAAAATTGGACTCAATCAAAATTTCGAAGATTTTTTTTATTCGGCCGTTTTTTGCAGTTTCTGGTTATCCATAGAAACCATTTAGGATCTGAGAAGTATGGCATTTTTTATTGTTTTTTGTCATGGGAAAATCATCATATTATTTTTCCCGCCCAGGGTTAGGCGAGAGAGAGTGTCAGACTCCTACTGACTAAAACCCCCCCCGTACCTTCTCCTGGTCTGAGCCGAGGCCGCGGTGACTCATTGCGTTGAATCCGCAACCCCGGCTGGAGAAGTATGTCCCTGTGACGCACCGTTTCCGAGTTATGGGCTTTTAAATTTTTATTATTTTCTATAAAACGATTTTTATTTAAAAATGGTAGATTCGGTGAGATGGTTTTTGAAAAAGATGTTGTTACTCAAAAGTCATGCCATAGGTAAAAATAATGCAAAAACTTCGAAAAAAATAAAACATCTAGTCCTTGCTCCACATAGCCCCTAAAGCTACACTCCAACAACATATTTTGTTATTAACATATATATATGAGTTTGTAAAATATATTGTAGGTTATATTAATATCCCAATAAATCTGTCACTAAATTTCCGATACAAAAAAAGTATGAGATTTTTTTTGTAACATATTATTTTTTTCTATGCAGACGGTAAGTGAACTGCGCCGCTCATGAACAAGAACAAAGGTCGTTGCGAGGCTGTTTGGGGGGGATAGACCTGGTACCCTCACTGAGACAGAACGCTATGTTTGTGTCACACCGGTGAACTGTGAGGGCGTGGTATCACTCCCAGCCGTGACAGCAGTGCCGAAACATGGCTTTCTTTTATCCTGATCTTGTTTTCTGCTATTGGGCAATTTCTTAATCTTCTTAGGAAGCTCCTGCTTGATCTTCTTTGCTTTCTTTATTTGAAACTAGCGATTCGCTCCGGCTTCGCACGGTCGCAATGCTTATACTAAACTTCTCTTCTATTTAATGGATGTTATTATACATATAACCCTTCATCTTCAATCACTCTTTCTGTTAAAAAATCGCATCAAAATCCGTTGCGAAGTTTTAAAGATTTAAGCATAAATAAGGATATAGGGACAGAGAATGCGACTTTGTTTTATACTATGATGATGAAGTAATATTGCATGGTTCGCGTGGGGCACGGAACAACTCTTTGTGTGATCCACAAAATCTACAAATTGTAGTTCTGTGAGTTTGGGTGTAATGTGTATGTGAAATTGTACGTATTTAAACGCAGCCGCGACCTGCTAATGGTCATAATTCTGACATACCTCTTCCGCATACACATTCATCAATTTCTTCATGCATGCTCTTTGATTCAAGGTGTTATAAAGGTTTCATCCCATATTTCGTTTGTAGATGGACCCGCGGCTCTTAAAACATGTGATAGGCGCAGCAATTGACATGGGTTACCGTGCTATAGACACGGCATATATTTACGGCAATGAGAAGGCGGTCGGCGAAGCTATTCAAGCTAAGATCGATGATGGCACTGTGACGCGGTAAGTTTAATTGACTAAAGAGCATTTAGGTCGCAAGGGTTTTCTTAATACAAAATTTTAATCCCAAGACAAAGGAAACTTTTATGAGGTACGGCGTAAAAATGAGCAGATGGATTACCTGATGGTAAGCAATCGGCGCGAAATGAGTTACGAGTACGTTGCTGGGGATAAGAGTTTTGAAGATTTAGGGATTGGGAAAGGATTGGGCCTCCGGTAATCTCACGCACACGGCGAGAAACAACGCTGTGGTTCTTTCGCGTCAGTTTTCTCTGATATTGCGGTTTCACGCAGGTCGAACCGACCCATTCGTGCCGAAAATTGGGAAACTGCTGAACCGATTCTAATAAACTTGGCACTCATACGTAATATATTATGGTACATACCTTATACACAAACTTCGTAGCAACTGCTAGTACTCGTAATATTAAATAATTAGCTTAAAAAAATCTGTCTGACAAGACCTAAATCTCTTGTGGCGCCATCTATTAAGAGAAAAACACGATAATTTTTTTTTTATGTAATAAGTCGGCAAACGAGCAGACGGATCACCTGATGGTAAGCAATCAGCGCCGCCCATGGACACCCGCAACGGAGGAGTTACGAGTGCGTTGCCGATCTTTTAGGGATTAGGGATTTGGAGATTTAGGGATTGAGGAGGGATTGGGGGAGGGGAAGAATCGGTCCTCCGGTAACCTCACTCACACGGCGAAACACAATGCCGTGGTTATTTCAAGCCGGTTTTCTGTGAGGCCGTGGTATCACTCCGGTCGAGCCGACCCATTCGTGCCGAAGCATGGCTCTCCAACAATTATAATATATCTCAATTTCTTCATTCAGGGAGCAGCTGTTTATTATGGGCAAGTTATGGAGTACATTCCACAGGACTGACCTGGTGGAGACAGCCTGCAAGAACTCCTTGGAAGCCCTGGGTATCACATACTTTGATCTCTACATGATCCATAACCCAATGTCTTTTAAGGTGAGTTACGTATTTTCTTCATTGGTCAAGGATTTTTTCCTTGTAGAAGGAGAAAAAGGGGAGATCATCTCTTAATACTTCCCTTCCCGTACCTATCGTGCTAAATGTCACATAGCTCACTAAGCGTAGTAGCTACAGCTGTGTGCAGTCTGTCACACACTTAGAACTAATCACAGCAGTGTGACTCTGTAAGACTTCATTCTAAACTTCGAATCTGAATCCGCTGTGAGTAGTAGTACACTAGCGCTACACTTGCGAGTTGAACTAAATTGACAGCAACATTTTGATAGATAAAGTATGAGATGACGTTAAATATGGCATTCTAAAATTTAATTTCTCTGTCACTTGGACGCTCACTTCGCACTCGAACACGATCCAAAATCAAACAAATTTTATAGAATCGACGTGCAGGTGTTCTAATACAAAGTAAAAAGGCGATGACGTATGCGACCGAAAACTTTTAATTTCATTATTGAATTCTTCCTTCTTTTGTTACGGGATGGCAGACGGATTGCCTGATGATAAGCTATCGCCTCCTCCTATGGACACCCACATCCGCAAATGCGTTACTAGTGCATTGCCGGCCTTTCGGAGATTAGGGATTGGGATTGAAGGCATCGGGGAGGGGAAGGATTGGGCCTCCGGTAACCTCACTCAAGTGGCGAAACACAACGCAGTGGTTATTTCACGCCGGTTTTCTGTGAGGCCGTGGTATCACTCCGGTCGAGCTGACCCATTCGTGCCCAAGCCTAGCTCTCCCACAATTACTACACGTGTGTTATAACACATTTAAAGTATTTTTATAATAGTAAATAAATAATTATTTTTATTCTCGAAGTATTTAGCGTAGTGACTGCGTTTAGTTAAAAAAATGTTAGCAAAGTACGTATATTATAGTGTATTTTTCGCTGGTTTGACCTTAATTTCAATGTAAATTCTAATAAAATCTTCAAGTGTGGGAGAGCCATGCTTTGGCACGAATGGGTCGGCTCGACCGGAGTGATACCACGGCCTCACAGAAAACCGGCGTGAAATAACCACTGCGTTGTGTTTCGCCACTTGAGTGAGGTTACCGGAGGCCCAATCCTTCCCCTTCCCCAATCCCTCCTCAATCCCTAAATCTCCAAATCCCTAATCCCTAAAAGGTCGGCAACGCACTCGTTACTCCTCCGTTGCGAGTGTCCATGGGCGCCGCTGATTGCTTACCATCAGGTAATCAGTCGGCTCGTATGCCGACCTATTACATAAAAAAAAATCCATGACTCCATTATTTACCACAATCGCATGACCTATTCTAGACGTGATTTAAACTCTTCTTAGACGAAAAATAACAATTTGAGAAAACAGTTAGAGAGAGAAAGAGACAAAAAAATATAGGGTTCGCGCTTTACTTAAACTGCCCATGGTCATGATCAGTGTTTTAAGCCGATCTGAGTCATTAAAAATCATCCATTGTGGGTGAGGCAAAAGGGAGAGACGTGTCAGACTCTTACTGACTAAAACTACCATGTTCCTTCTCCTCCAGGCCCCTGCCAATCATTGCACTTGGACCCTCAACCCTGGTATACAATAAATCCATACTCATATGTATTTTACCATTTTTGCAAACAGGAAGGCCCAGATCCAATTCCGAAAATCGCATCAGTAGTCCAGTTCTCCGAATACGACTATTTGGACGCCTGGTTTGGCATGGAAGGCCTGGTCAGCAAAGGTCTGGCGAAGAGTATTGGAGTCAGCAATTTCAACTCCGTTCAGCTGTTAAGGATCTTGGAGAAGGGGAAGATAGCGCCAGTTATCAACCAGGTGAGATTAATCAAGCGCTTACTGCAAAACGAAAGGCTTTTTGAAGGGCGAAATCATCCGCACTAGGTGGAATGAGAGGGATTGTTAGACTCATTTAAAGCCACAGCGTAACTTCATCTTCTCCGAGCCGGAGCCTCGGTACATTACCGCGCTTGCATCCCCAACCCTGACTGAAGATCAGCTCTCTGATGGCTCTTTTGTTTGAGCTTTATTTGTTTGCATTAGGTACATTTATTACATACTATACACGGAATTTTAATTCCATTCCAGATTTGACAATTTCAGTGTTACAACGTTATGACACGTAATAAATAGTGACGTTGCGAAATTATTCGATGTGGAAATCGAATATTTCTGAATCGATTCCTCTCGTTTATAAATTTACACTCGTAAACTAAGTTTATTAGGAAATAAAATATTTCTGAACCGATAATTTAGTTTTGACAATTAATTAACGATCTGTGACTTTTCTTTTGTATTTGTGTGTGAAATTAATAAAAAATATGGTCATGAAGGAACATGACAAATAAAACAGAAATTTTATAAATTGTAGCCGTTATCGCTATCGCTATCGCTGCCGCGCTGTTACTTTCTCTAACATTTATTATGAATTGTGTCTGTGATTTTTATCGTCAATTAATATATCTTGCTTACTCATTTTTTCCTCTTCTTTGACAACATGGAATACGCATTTAGACCATTCGGTAGCCGTAATTTTTTGAATGCCTCCCTGAAACTGATTCATAGATTGTTTATCGATTTTTGTGTTCATCACTACACTGTTATATGTGGTATCATTATTTGACAAAATGACAGTAGGTCATGTCAAATCAGGAATCGAATTAAAATTCTGACTATAGCTACTGCCGTGCGTTTTCGCCCGCTGCTCGACTCCTATTGGTCCTAAGGTATTGTTTCATAGCCAACAGCCTTCAGGAACATAGTAGCTATTTATCATTGAAAGAATTTTTGAAATCCGACCAATGTTTCCAAATATTACCCCCTACAGAGAAACTTGCGAATTTTACCTCTTTATAATAATAGGTCTTTAACTATGAAATTGCCGTTTTGCATGAAAAAAATTAAACGAATTTTTTTATTTGAAATGCGATGAAAATGTAACACTAATCAATAAACAAATGACTACTCTTGGAAAAAGAATCCCATGTTTTTAAAACAAAATTAACATTAACAAAAACTATTTTGATTTGAAATGGCCAGTACTGCAGAACGGCAATTTCATAGGTAAAGACCTATTATTAGTTTAGATTGATGAGACCTTCGCAAACTCTCACCCATATGTGTTACATATATGTATGATGATGAAGACCAGAGATGTCAAAGGGATGAATTCATCGACGCATCATAGCCTATGATAGCTTGTTTTAAGTAAGTAAGTAAGTAAGTAAGTATATTTATTTGTTTAAACATGGTATACATACATTGCATGCAAGATATTACAGTAGAAAGAAAGTTCAAACATGTTCAGCCGCGTGTCGTGGCGTACAAATAGTTGAATGGCGTACAATTGCTGGGTTTCAAACCGGGACTACACTTATTAAATTCACATGATAAAATTGCTATTAAAATCTTAATACATTATCAATTCAATTCAATTATCAATTCTATTCAATGTCAAGTTAGTTATTAGTTAAATTCAATGTCAATACAATATCAATTCAATGTCAATTTAATTATCAATAAAAATTATTTTATACAATAAAATATATTAAATGACATAATAATCAAGAAAAATTATCCTCTTTCATAAATTCAGAAATAGTATAATAAGATCTCTCTATTAATAATTTTCTTAATTTCAATTTTAGGCCAGATACATCCAATAATCTCCATGACTTGGGTAATTTATTAAATATGGTAGGAGCCATGCAAAAAATACTCTTATGCAAAAGAGCAGTTTTACCGCCGCGAACACAAAGCAGAGTATTGTCACGTCTATTCCTTGGCACAGCATCAGACAAACGTTGGAATAAGTTAGGATGACTTACAGTGAACATTACCGTTTCCAAAATGTATAATGAGGGTAATGTCAATATTCTATGCTCTTTAAAATAAGATTTGCAGCTGTCTGTTGTTTGAAGTCTAAACATCGATCTGATACATCTTTTTTGGGCCCGAAACGCTACTTCATTGTCCGTACTATTTCCCCAGAAAATTATACCGTATCTTAAAATGGATTCAGCCAATCCATAGTACGCAGTAATTAGTGCATCTGCATTGAGAACCGCTGCTAGTTGTTTCAAAGCGTAGGCTACACTACTTATTTTCTTACTCAGAGCTTCTATTTGGGGCTTCCAACACAACTTAGCATCAATAATAAGACCCAGAAATTTTGTTGTGTCAGTTGCATTTATATTAATATTATTATACTGAACATTAGGATTGGTAGCTGTATATGTACGCTGTCCGAAATGAATTACATTAGTCTTTTTTAAATTAATGATTAAATTATTATTATTAAGCCAATTTATGATAGATATAAGAGAATTATTAATGTCATGTTCATACGTACTTTTGTCATTACAAGCTATAGTCACAGTGCAATCGTCAGCAAAAAGTGTCATTGGTTTGTCAACAGCTTTAGGCAAGTCATTTATATATAAAGTGAACATCGGAGGGCCCACCACACTGCCCTGCGGTACTCCGTATATTACTTCTCGTTCCTCAGATCTTACAATTATCTCACGTTTGTTGCAAATTTGATATATTTCGGTAACCTGCTTACGTTTATGAAGATATGATTTTATTAATTCTAAGACGTTACCCCTGATACCATACGCTTCAAGTTTCTCTGCTAGGGAATTGTAATGCACACAATCAAAAGCCTGTGTCATGTCACAGAAAATGGCGCATACAGGTGTCCTCTTATCTATGTTTAGCATTACATTATGTAGAAAATCATAAATAGCCAGATTTATACTTTTGTTTTTGCGAAATCCCTTTTGTTCGTCAGCTAAAATGTGATATTTTTCTAAATAGTGGTTGATTTCTCCCGATATATATTTTTCGAAGACTTTGGATAACACTGGTATAATCGCAATCGGTCTATAGTTTAACATCAATTCGTGATTTTCCTTCTTATAAAGCGGTTTTACTATAGATTTTTTTAATGAATCAGGAAAAGTGCCTGCGCTTATACAAAGATTGATAATAAAACATAAGTGTGTAGATATTATCAATGCAACTGCTTTTAATATTTTTGTGGCAATACCATCATAGCCAACGCTGTACGTGTTTCTAAGTTTCATTATAATAAAGTATATGTCATGTGGTGTAGACGGAGCCATAAACATAGACTGTGCTCTGCTATCGATCAGTGACCTTGAGTTCGTTCCTGCGTTACTTGTTGGCTGGATTTTATCGATAAAATAATTATTGAATGCATTGGCTATGTCCTTCTGCTGAGTGATTTTTTTATTTTCAGAATTGATGCAAGTAATACAAGTTCTCAAGTTTTGACTTTTGGACTTATTGATGATTTGCCATGTGGTTTTTGATTTATTATTTGACGTTTTAATATTGTAAGTGTTTTGAGCCTTTTTAGTTAAATTAATAACTTTTTTAAGTAATCTTGAATAATTTTTGAATTTAACTCTGTTATATTGATTTGGTTTTAACCTGTATTTCCATAGAAGATTCCTTTTATTTTTGCTACAGATCTTAATCCCACGTGATACCCAAGCGGGTTTTTTAACTATGTTAACGGTAACAATTTTATTAGGGAAACACAAATCATAAAATAATTTGAAGGTTTCTATAAAACAGTTGTAAGCTGCATTAGGATCTTCCATCTCATACATATCGAAGAAGGAGAGACTGTCTAAACAAGATTTGAATTTTTCTATATTTTCTGGACTGTAATCTCGTGTAACTTTGCGATAATATTTATGAGCATCCTTTTTTCGTACGGGACACTTTAAAAGCTGTGCTGTGTGGTCGGATAGCGCGAACTCCACTACTTCAATCTTACAACGTTTACCAAAATCATGAGCAAAATTGTCAATACATGTTTGGCTCGCAGTCCGAGTAGGTTGCCTTAATGCTAGTTGTAAATTCGAGTTTAAGAGAATACATTCAAATTCGGTTGATTGCTTAGTTTTCTTTAAAATGTCAATGTTGTAATCACCAGCTATTACTATATTCTTACACCGTTGTTTGGATAAATATTTTAAAAGAATTTCAAGTTTATCAAAGAAGTCATTTATGTTTTTTGAGTTCGGAACTCTATAAATACACACAAATATAATATTATAATCAGTCAATTTAACTGCACAACATTCAAATATGCTTTGTGATGACATTTTTGTTATGGTGGGCAATTCCTTCCATTGTAGATCACGCTTAACAAGGATACATGCACCTCCTCGCTTACTCGCCTTTCTACTATAACATGCCGCTAAAGTGTAGTTAGGTATGTGTAACTGATTCTCACTGCCAGCCACCATGAAATGCTCAGAAATGCATATTACGTCTACATCAATATCTGTTAAGTTATTTTTTATTTATTTAGTAATTGGCAGACATTTGACCACTATCACGCCTGGTGGTAAGCTATGATGCGACCCACTAAGGAGCACGCCTACCTATAAGTAACCTATTCACTCGGGCCTTGAAGACACCCAGGTATACCCTTCGGGGAACACAGACTCCGGCAAAGAATTCCACTCCTTAGCGGTTCTGATAATAAAACTGGAGGCGAACCGCTTCGTGCGTGTAGGTGGGATATCCACCATGAAGCGATGACGTTTTGCCGATTGTCTGGTGGTGCGATGGTGGAAAGGTCTAGGGTCGTGCAGCTCCTTTGAATGTCCCATTTTTTTATATTTTATTATTTTATTTTCAGGTGGAGTGCCACCCATACTTGACTCAGCAACGCCTCGATGCATTTTGTAAAGAAAAGGACATTAGGCTTAGTTGCTATGGCGTATTAGGATCTAAGGTAAGGAGTTATGTTTAAGTGTGGGAGATTCATGCTTCGGCACAAATGGGCCGTCTCGACCACGGTCTCACAGAAAATCAACGTGAAACAACCACAGCTTTGTGTTTCGCCGTGTGAATGAGGTTACCGTAGGCCCAATCCTTCCCCTCCCCAATCCCTCCTCAATCCCTAAATCTCCAACTCCCTAATCCCTTAAAGGTCGGCAACGCACTCGTAACTCCTCCGTTGCGGGTGTCCATGGGCGGTGCTGATTGCTTACCATCAGGTAATCCGTCTGCTCGTTTGCCGAGCTATAACCTACATAAAAAAAAATTCATGCGTCGCCACGACTGGGCCGGCTCGACTGTTGTTATTCCACTAAATGATATTATTTTTAGCTTTTTTATATAGGTGGTATTTTACATTAAAGATAAAGATAATTTTAGTAGCCAAAACTACTATAGATATTCAGTATTGTTCGTATCCACATGCTTAACCATCCAAATCCAAACTAATATTATAAACGCGAAAGTTACTTTGTCTGTCTGTCTTTTCTTCACGCCTAAACAACGTGTCCGATGTCTATGATATTTGGTACAGACATAGTTTGGAACTCGAGAAAGGACATGGGATAGTTTTTTTTTTCACCAAAAATCTACAGGAAGTCACTATTACACGCGAACGAAGTCGCTGACAATAGCTAGTTAATTAATCAGGGGATTTGCTTACATTTTAACTAAGTATAAATCTTAATTATTCGAAGCTTTATATAATATACCACCAACAATACTGAAATTCACACTTCAAATAAATATTAGGTTATCAATGGAGAAAAATCAAAAGCGGTTAAAAATCCTAATTTGTAATTATTCAATTCTATTCTAGGGCACACCAGTGGAGTACAAAAACTCTACCTTCGCCGTGATCGATGACCCTTTGGTCAAGGTAATGGCATCCGGACTTGGAGTTAGCCCTGCACAACTCCTTATAAGGTAAGTGCATCCGACGTTTTCTGGAGTCGTAACCACATCTTCGTATTTTTGGCCCCATTAAAGTCTGTGTTTTTCTTCTCATGCATGAGGGTGTTCGAAACCTGGCACGTACCAATGTGACTTTTTCCGAGTTATATGTACTTTCTATGATTATTGAGACACCACTGACATACGGTGAAGGTCTACCTTCACCATAAGTCAGACATAAGTCCAGGTTTCCTCACGATGTCTACATCGTGAGGAAACCTGGACTTAGCTAATTATCAGTTTTAAATCGCCAACCCTTCTTCTTACTTCTCTGTATGAGAAGAAGCCTTTGCTCAGCAGTGGGCACTTATAGGTTGATGATGAAGTCTGTGTTTTGGACATTACGGCTAAAATGGATAGATAGGCGATCCTAATCCAAAATCGGTCAATCGATTTAGATTTTTAACAGAACTATGCTACTATTTTTTTTGGGAGGGGAAAGTCATCAAATGTCTTTGCACGCCCAGGGTAAGGCGAGAGAGAGTGTCAGACTCTTACTGACTAAAAACTTCTTCGTTTCTTCTCCTACTCCAGGCCTAACCGTGGTAAAAATCGTGGGAAAATCGGCCCTATTATGGCCCTGTCTGTAGAGGTCCATTGGCTCTTAGTGGTCATTCATAAGGTGCGTCACACGTAAAAGGAGGGGTGGACAGGAGTAGACAAAGTGTGACATGAGTTGGGAAGCTAAGTTTCAAGTGGGCTCAAAATATCATGAAATTTATGTGGCGAGCTTTATAAATGACCCCTTAGAGAGAATAATCCGACTTAATATTTGTACTTTTTCTACTTTTTCCGAGTTATATGTTCCTTCTATGATTATTTAGACACCACTGACATACGGTGAAGGTAAACATCGTGAGGAAACCTGAACTTATAATTTCTAATTATAAGTTTGAATTCGCCAATCCGCTTTCAGCAAGCGTGGTGATTAATGCTCAAACCTTCTCCGTATGAGAAGAGGCCTTTGCTCAGCAGTGGGCAGTTATAGGCTGATGATGAAGTCTGTGTTTTGGATATTACGACCAAAATGGATAGATAGGCGAAAATCAGTTAATCGATTTAGATTTTTAACAGAACTATGCTACTATTTTTTTTTGGGTGGGGAAAGTCATCAAATGTCTTTGCACGCCCAGGGTAAGGCGAGAGAGAGTGTCAGACTCTTACTGACTAAAAACTTCTTCGTTTCTTCTCCTACTCCAGGCCTAACCGTGGTAAAAATCGTGGGAAAATCGGCCCTATTTTGGCCCCATCTGTAGAGGTCCATTGGTTCTTGGTCATTGATCATCCATAAGGTGCGTCACACGTAAAAGGAGGTGGTGGGGGGGGCACATAACGTGACATGGGTTAGGAAGCTAAGTTTCAAGTGGGCTCAAAAGATCATGAAATTCTTGTGGCGAACTATATAGATAGCCCCTTAGAGAGAATAATCCGACTTAATATTTGTACTTTTTCTACTTTTTCCGAGTTATATGTTCCTTCTATGATTATTTAGACACCACTGACATACGGTGAAGAAAAACATTGTGAGGAAACCTGGACTTATAATTTCTAATTATAAGATTGAATTCGCCAATCCGCTTTCAGCAAGCGTGGTGATTAATGCTCAAACCTTCTCCGTATGAGAAGAGCCCTTTGCTCAGCAGTGGGCACTTATAGGCTGATGATGATGAAATCGAAAATTTGTAAATGTGGATGAACATTTGTTACTCTTTCACGTAAAACTTTCGAACGGATCTGAAAGAAATTTGACGCCCAACGTGGGCCTACTTTTTAGCCTGGTACTGTGGACGAAACCGCTGGCATACGTTTATATTATAATATCTTTCTCTCTTCCAGATACCAGATTGACAGCGGCCACAACGTTGTGGTGAAAGCATCCTGTGCCAACCATTTGTGGGACAATCTTCAAGCGCTCACATTCGAATTGGATAAGACACAGATCGAGGCTCTAAACGCCTTGAATAAAAATAAAAGGACCTTCATTTTTAAAGGGTAAATATACAGTATTCTTTTCCTAAAATCACCATACAAGTAATGTCCAATTAAAAAAATTTATACTCACTATTAATGAAATGTATTCATAGAGGTAATCTGACCGAGAACTAAAGTAGTCGTTATAGCCCAGAAGTTTAACCTGAAGTGGTAATGGGCAGGTCACATTTGTCGAAGAACCTATGATCGTTGGGGTAAACGTGTTCTAGAGTGGAGACCTTGCTAGGCAAACGTAGTGTAGGGCGCCCTCCAGCTAGGTGGACTGACGATATCCTGTGGCTGGCAGTGGTTGGATGAGAAGAGCTGAACATCGAGCTCAGCAGCGTGCTATTGGGGAGGCCTATGTCTAGCAGTCGACGAAATCAGGCTGATGATATGGATCTTTCTCTGCAGACTGGGTGATGTTGGCTAACCATTTTTGGAAATAAACTATAAATTGATTTAGATATTCTCCTCAGTACCCAGGCCCGTACTTTCTATGGTTATTTAGACACCACTGGCATACGGTGAAGGAAAACATCGTGAGGAAACCTGGACTTATAATTTCTAATTATAAGTTTGAAATCACCAACCCGCATTGAGTAAGCGTGGTGATTAATGCTCAAATCCTCTCCGTGTGAGAAAATGGCTGATGATGCGACCCAGGCCCGGTGCGTGTCAAAAGGCTTGATTCCAATAATACAGATTAAATAAAATAATATTAACAAAATCCTTTTTTATTTCAGAATGGGCGAGACACACAAGAATTATCCTTTCTTGGAGCCGTTTTAACAATATTTATTTTTGACAAAAAAACCGAATTATTAAATCAATTAATTTCTAAAATAGGTAATGAAATGAAAATAATAATATTGAATTAAAATGTTAATTACTGACCATAGTTCTATATAGTGACATGTAAAATAAAAACTTGGATGTTTTATAGTAAAAAATGAGAGTAAGAACTCAATTTGCCAGTCAGATAGTAAATATTGACTCAGTACGGATATGTACAGTAGCTATTGTTATTGTAACACTAATACCTGGTTTCCAAAAGGCCGATCAATGTTAAAATCAATTTAATCTCATGTCAAGTCATCTGATTGGTTGACTGAATTATCAACAACCAATCAGATGACTTGACAAGAGATTTAACAGGAGATTAGTTAATTTTAGCGTTGACAAGCCTTTCAGAAACCGGGTGTAAATACGGCATTTGAAAACTAATCAAATAATCGAATCGATCAGAAAAGTATCGTTTTTGACATTTGGATAAAAGTATTGAATTTGACTAGTTGGAAACTACCGTATTGTACGTATCGAAGCCACATCTTGGGTAACCATTGAACCTAACCAACCTATACCTAGTTACTTTCTCGCCGTACTAAATAAATATTTATTTTCTTCTGCATATTAAAAAAACTAAGTTCATAACCTACGCATATTTTAATAGACCATCATTTTTATCAAATATGGTGAGAAAACTTTTGATAATGAACTTATAACTCTTCATCATCGATAAAATTCGCTTCTTCTGGTGTTGCGGATGTCCATGGGCGGCTTAATTGCTTACCATCAGGTAATCCGTTTGCTCGTTTGCCTATTGGCTATGTGCAAAGCGAGTAGTGGCGGACAGATAAAGACCGCAGCGCACAACACGGCAGAAATTGAAAACAAATGCGGACGATCAGCTGTCGGTTTTTATTATTATATTCATTTCACAGTAAAAGCTTAAATAATGTGAACAATAATATTTTAACCTCTGGTTTTATTTATATTTGCAAAGAAAATTATAATGTTTACATTGTTATTATTTGACAGCTTCCGCAAATGTTGTAAACGCTACGCGTCGCCACTGTCGCGCACATAGCCAATACAATTAACCACCAATTTGACTAGCATTAACTGTTAGTCCAAGGTTGATGCGCGTCAATACTATAAATATATAATAGATTCATCATCATTAGATTTCTCACCGAATTGTACTAAATGCGTAGATCATTAGCTCCATATAAATGATTTTCCCCTTCCCAATCTCTAAATATCCGAAACCTTTATCCGTAAAAGGCCAGCAACGAACTCGTAACTCCTTTGATGTTGTGAGTGTCCATGGGCGGCGGTGTTTGCTTACCATCAGGTATTCCGTCTGCTCATTAAAAAAAGAATTTTATTTTTTGACATTATACTACCTACTAATTTGTGAAGATTTTTTGCAAAAAATCCTTCTACTTTTATCACAAATCAAATTTTGACATTCAAAATTAGATTTAAAATGTATATTTTTGAGACAGTTTCTTTTTACATCCTTGACTAAGTAATCTTAGAATTTTTTATAAGAAAATTGTATTCCATTTATTTCTATTTCAATCAATATTTTGATATCTTTTTAGACCCTAAAATGTTAAGGGGACATCGTAATTAAGGATATTATTAGTGTAACCATAATTTTTATGTAAAAAATATTAAATTATAAATAAAATACATTTTTATTAATAAGAAAACATAGTTTTATTTCTTAACAATATACAATTCATTTTAAAGGCACACAATTATTAAAATTAAATTAAATTATTATACTTTTGGCGCTGGTTTCTTTAATAATCCTGTAACAAAAAAATGACAACATTAGCTCATGACGATACCAGCGTACGTGTGTCACTGGACAGTGAACCTCGCTACCATCTGTTGACTGGACAATCTCTACACTACATGAGTCGCTGTTTACATGTCAACATTAGCTCATGACGATACCAGCGTACGTGTGTCACTGGACAGTGAACCTCGCTACCATCAGTTGACTGGACAATCTCTACACTACATGAGTCGCTGTTTACATGTCAACATTAGCTCATGACGATACCAGCGTACGTGTGTCACTGGACAGTGAACCTCGCTACCATCTGTTGACTGGACAATCTCTACACTACATGAGTCGCTGTTTACATGTCAACATTAGCTCATGACGATACCAGCGTACGTGTGTCACTGGACAGTGAACCTCGCTACCATCTGTTGACTGGACAATCTCTACACTACATGAGTCGCTGTTTACATGTCAACATTAGCTCATGACGATACCAGCGTACGTGTGTCACTGGACAGTGAACCTCGCTACCATCTGTTGACTGGACAATCTCTACACTACATGAGTCGCTGTTTACATGTCAACATTAGCTCATGACGATACCAGCGTACGTGTGTCACTGGACAGTGAACCTCGCTACCATCTGTTGACTGGACAATCTCTACACTACATGAGTCGCTGTTTACATGTCAACATTAGCTCATGACGATACCAGCGTACGTGTGTCACTGGACAGTGAACCTCGCTACCATCTGTTGACTGGACAATCTCTACACTACATGAGTCGCTGTTTACATGTCAACATTAGCTCATGACGATACCAGCGTACGTGTGTCACTGGACAGTGAACCTCGCTACCATCAGTAGACTGGACAATGTCTTAAAAAAGTATACTTACTTGGTATATTTGTAGTTTTAATCATTTTTTGTTTGGCTTCTTGAGGTAACATCTTGAACTTCATTGGATTTTTTCCTGTAAATATAAAAATGACTATTGGATCATCATTATTAGGCGAAAGGATGCTAACTCTCTTCTGTCTTAAAACAGTTCGAAGAAATATTTACACGCTTTTTTAGGAAAAGAAAACTGCATGTGCGTTTAATGCATAACGCGCAGTTACGTTGGGTCACTAAGGGTGTAAAAATCTCTAGCAAGATGAAACGGTTTTTATGTACTGGTAAAGGGAATAGTCAAAATGACACCGTGATGGACTACAGACAAAAATACATAGCTCTATACAGAAAAGTGATAAATATGGCCAAAAAGTTATCTGTACAATCTAAATTAGCGAACTCTACTAACATTTCAAAAGATGCTTGGAAAGTGGTAAACAAACATAGGAATAAGATTGTGAAGAATAATAAAAAAAATATCCTAAAATTCAACAACAAGATTGTATCAGAACCGTCAGAAATTGTAAATATCTTATCCCAGCAATTCCAATTTAATTCATCAGCCAGTGCTAGTACAGGGGCTGCCATGGATTTTCTACGGAGGAGCGCAAAAAGAGTAGCTAATGACCTGATCCTGGACCCTGTCACTCCCCGTGAGATATTTAACATAGTGAAAAACATGGATGACAAAAAATCTTGTGGCTATGACGACATAAACACATCAGTTATAAAGGACAATATAGATATACTAGCGATACCTCTCAGCATGTTTTACAATAAATGTTTTGATGAGGGGATCTTTCCAGATCAACTGAAGGTAGCCAAAATAATACCAATACACAAAAAAGGTTCTAAAACAGATCCAAAGATGTACAGACCTATCTCATTACTGCCTACACACTCAAAAATCTTTGAAAAGCTGATTAAGTCTAGATTACTCAGACATTTCTGCCAAAATGGGGTGTTAAGTAGGAAACAATTTGGCTATCAGAAAAACGTCGGGACACAAGACGCAATATCGACTTTGATTAAGGACGTAGTGAGAAGATTGGATGACAAACAGAGAGTAGCTGGGCTTTTCTTAGACTTAAGTTTAGCATTTGATACAGTGGATCATAAACTGCTGCTTGAAAAACTGGAACACTACGGTGTCAGGGGTAGAGTAATGGCCCTTCTTTCATCCTACTTGAAGAACAGAAAGATGTTTGTGGAAATTAAAGCAGAAACATTAAGGACAGTTTCCTCTGGCAGGAACTGTCTTACTGAAGAAACTTTCAGATCCCAATTGTCCCCAGTGCACATTGGCGTACCACAGGGATCCATACTGGGTCCGATATTCTTTATCGTGTTTGTTAATGACCTGGTACAACATATGATGGAAAATGCTGCGGGATCTATTCAACTTGTAGTGTTTGCCGATGATACTAACGCCGTTGTTTCTGCTGACAATATAAGCAACCTTAATACAATTGTTAATCAAACATTAGATATTTTTCACAGTTGGTTTGCTGTTAACGGTCTTAAAATTAACGCCAGTAAAACTAACGTAATGCTATTTCGATCTACTTCCAAAAATAAGGATAGCATTCAGTGCGAGATTAATGGAGAAAAGGTAAATGTGGTAGAAGTAGTTAAGTTTCTGGGAGTTTATATTGATAGCCAGTTGAAGTGGAAGGAAGAGCTAAATTACGTTGAGAAAGCGATTAGCCCTGCCTGTTATGTGCTTAGAAGTCTCAGAAACGACGTAACCATAAAACACTTGAAAATGGTGTATTACGCATTGGTGGAGTCAAGGCTAAGGTACAGCATACTTTTCTGGGGTGGAAGTTATGACTACAATATACAAAAAGCATTTGTAATACAGAAAAGAGCAATCAGGACTATGGTTAGAATACAACAGCAAGAATCATGTAAGCCTCATTTCACTGACTTAAATATATTGACAGTCCCAAGTTTGTACGTTTTGGTTTTACTTACTCATTTGTCAAAGTACATTTTTGAATATGAGACTGAAGAAGAAAGGCTCCGAAGGGAGAGTACAAGAAGGAAGGATCTCCAGTTACAGCAAGTGACTCATCTGAATGTTGCAAAGCATAGTTCCTTCCATAAGTCATTAAAACTGTTTAATAGACTGCCGACAGAAATAAAAGGTCTTGTTTATAAAAGCGAGTTTCACAATAAGCTTAAACAGTTCTTGTTGAAAAAGTGTCTGTATCATATTGACGAATTATAATGTTGACATTGTTGATGACATTTTTTATATTTTATTAATGATATATGATTTTAATAAATTTAATTTATAAAATTTTGATAGTATCATGATATTTTACCTTAATAATAATTGTTACGGCCAATTATTGCATGTATAATTCTTTGTTGTTTATATTCGAACACAATGTAATAATTGTTAATGAATAAATAAATAAAAAAACTTCCTAAGTTTGGATTGACCATAGTCACTATGCTTGTCAATTAGCTTAGTGATCGCGGTTCAGTTTTTAGGAGGTCCATAGATTAAGTGAGGTGCCAAATTATAAATTCGAATATCCCAAAGCATATTTGTAAAAAATGGAAAATTAACCCTTTCTGTGTCGGGCACGCTACCATAGCAGCGGTAAGACCCCTCTTTGAGGAGTGGCTTGAGAGACGCCAAGGCGTCCTCACCTTCCGTCTGACGCAGGTGCTTACCGGGCACGGCAGCTTCGGTAGGTTCCTGTTTCGGATTCAGCGGGAGGAAACGCCCGAGTGTCGTCATTGTGAGGACCACCTAGAGGATACGGTGGAGCATACGGTAGCGGTATGCCCTGCCTGGGCTGAGCACCGCCGTATCCTCAGGGAAGTGATCGGCGGCGGCGACCTCTCGCGCCCGGCCTTAGTCGAGGCCATGGTGCGGAGTGAGAGGAACTGGGACGCCGTCTCCTCCTTTTGTGAAGCAGTCATGCTCGCAAAGAGAGAGGCGGCCCGTGTGAGGGAGCAATCCTCCTCCTCACGCCCCAGCAGCCGCAACTGGCGACACTACGGGCGTCGGGGATCGAGGGACGATCTCCGGCCACCGTAAGTACGGGCCTGCGGTCGGCGAGTAAGGGCAGCTCGCCGCCCGACCAGAACCAGGCCCGAGCGTACGGCGCGTAGCGTTCCGCGCGCGCCTCAAAGAGCCAATAGACCACCACAGACGGGGCCCTAAAGGGCTGATGTTCAGCCGGGGTTGCGGGGTAAGCGCAATGAGGTACCGCGACCTCGGCACAGAGCAGGAGAAGGAACAGGGGGGGTTTTTAGTCAGTAAGAGTCTGACACTCCCTCCTGCCCGGCCCTGGGCGGGAGAAGTCATTTGATGATTTTCCCCTCACAAAAAAAAAAACCCTTTCTGTGTGACTTCAAACTTATTACTAGAAATTATCATTGTTTTCCTTCACAGTATGTGGTGTCTAAATAATCATATAAGGTAAGGTCGCGAAACGCAGTTTTTCTAACTTTCTTTGCAAATTCACCTCGGTAACGGCTTTAATTATTTCGATAGATTTCGGGGTTAATTAACTAAGGGCTGGCTTTTCAATGGTTAGATAAAAGTTACCTGGGGAATAATTATGATGCTGTCGCGTCAGAATGTTTGTATAAGACAGTGACAGCAACAATTTTATTCATCAGGTAACATTTATCTGACTGTTCAAAACCAACCCTAAATGTAAACAAATTAGGCATGTTTTATGTTTACAATGAAAAAATGAATTTATTTTTGCAAATAGGCCATAAAACAGCAACTTTTACAGGTCAAATTATATGTAAAAAAAACTAGATGAAGCCGGCATTTCCTATCTGACTACTCTGAGAAGAAATGGCGAAACAAACTCAAAGGTCCGTCTCTTTTAAAATACACAAAAATTGTGAGAACCGTGCAGTTTCATTCTTTAGTGGTCTTTTGAGGAAAGAACCACACCAGGTTAAGTGGACCCGTCCTGACGTTCACATTTAGATTAGGTATTTACCTAAATCGATGTTAGCTAATAAACTGAATTTAAATAATCTTTGTATGTACTTTATACGAGCTCTTTAATATAAAAAGACATACCGACATTGTTTACCTTTAGTTAACTATCTAATCTAAACCGATAGACATATATTTTAAGTGTGGGAGAGCCATGCTTCGGCACGAATGGGTCGGCTCGACCGGAGTGATACCACGGCCTCACAGAAAACCGGCGTGAAATAACCACTGCGTTGTGTTTAGCCGTGTAAGTGAGGTTACCGGAGGCCCAATCCTTCCCCTCCCCCAATCCCTCCTCAATCCCTAAATCTCCAAATCCCTAATCCCTAAAAGGTCGGCAACGCACTCGTAACTCCTCCGTTGCGAGTGTCCATGGGCAGCGCTGATTGCTTACCATCAGGTAATCCGTCTGCTCGTTTGCCGACCTATTACATCAAAAAAAATAGGTATTTTCAGAAATTACTAAAAAAAAAAAACTTACTAGGACTTATTCTTAGCAAATTGTTCTTCGAAGACCCTTGGCTGATCGGGGATAATTTCTTCTGCGGTATTTTCGAAGTTTTCCCAGCTTCTGTATTGCCAGCGTTTAAAGCCTTAGTTTTGCCAATCGGTAAAGACTTTTTCAAACTCATTCGGTGCGATGCTAATGGCTTTGTAATTTTATTACTGCTTAGACTATTTCTAATATTCTTTGTAGGAAGTGGTTTTTTCGTGATTTTTTCAGAAACTGCTTCTTTTATATGAGATATTTTGTCTTTAGAGTTCAAATTTACAGCGTTTTTCTCGTAACTGTAAGGACATTATTGATTTTCGTTTTTGAGTTCATTTTGTCAGGTTTTTGAGGTAGATTCTGTTTCGATTTTGACTGTTCAGTAGTTCTTGTGACCGCTTGTGTCTTGTTTTCGGTTGTATTAGTAGTTTTTTGTACATTATTCTTAATTTGATTATCGCTTTTCGGTTTTTTCTCTTGTGCGTTATTATTTTTATTTTTAATGTCATTTTTTACTGGTTTCGTGTCATTTTTTGATGTTTTCCCATCATTTCCAGCATTCGCTGCTTCAATTTTATTATTAGTATTTATATTTTCTTTATTTTTAAGTTTTTTCTTGTCCATATTATCAGAATTTTTATTTTGTTGCTCATTTTCGTCAGTTTTCGAAGCTATTTTCTTGTTGGAGTTTTTTTTTACTTCAACTTCAGTTTTTCCGTCTTTGGTTAGTTTAGTTTTTACTGCATCATCTGTTTTAGGATTGTTATTATCTATAGTTTTTGCGTTTTGAGTTTTGACTTTGTTATTTGCAGGTTTTGTGTCTGTATTAATAGTTTCTTTATTATTTTTTGTATTTGATTTAACATTGGTTTCTATACTAACCGGTGCTTTCACATTTTTAGGTTTCGTTTTAGTATTAGCTTCTTTAGCTTCAATTACGATATCATTTTTTGGATCCCCATCTCCTTTATTTTCCAAATCCATTGGAGATTTATTTTTTGGGTTACCATTGGCATTTTTTGGTTTATTACCATCTGCGTTTTTAACATTCTTCTCATTAACAACATTTTTCCTAGCATTAGCAACTTCTTTGCTCTCAGAAGCTTTCACGTTTTTAGCGTTAGAATTTGTATTTTTAGGTTTAGCATCATCTTTATCATTTTTCGCTTTAGTATTTTCTACTGCTTTGTCTGAATCCTTTGTATTTTTATTTTTAGTGACTGCATTAGTGTTTTTTGCTTTTTTGTCGTTCGTAACAGCATTTTCTTTGACGGTCTTAGTGTTAGCTGTCCCAACATCGTTTTTTTCTATATCTTTGTTGGTTTTATTGTTTGTACTTTTAATAACAGCATTATTATTATTAATTTTAGCTTCAATACCATCAGTTTCCTTAGCATTAGATTTTTTATTTACAACGCTTTCTTTAGTATTTTTAACACTAGAACCTTTATCATCGATAACTTTTCTTTTCTTCCCAATTTCTACCATTTCATCATCAGCGTTTGCATCATTTTGACCACTAGCAACTTTATTAACATCATTTATTTTCCGTTTTTTATTACCTTCAGTAGCAACATCAGAATTTTTAGCTCTCTTAACGTTATCAGATGAATTTATATTAGCTACATCATTTTGATTATCATTTTTCATCTTTTTGGCTGAAGAATCTTTATCTTCATCAGCCAAATTCCTTTTAACAGCATTATTATCTGAATTATCTTTAACTTTCTGCTTTCCTTTCTTAGGAAGAGACTTTGGTGGAGCCATTACTTCGCTGTCTCTTTTCTCTATATCGTTGTCTCTTTCTGTCGTTTTAGACTCAAGATCTGAATCCTCGACTGGGCCTCTAGCTTCTAGACATGTCGCGATGATTTTAGCTAGTAATAAAGTCCGTTCGTCTGTCTGTATTGTTGGGTCTAATAGTTGTTTGTGGGCTTGTGTTATTATTTTGATGTAGGATTCCTCTGCAATGAAAATATAAATATAAAAATGAAATCACTACATAGTATAAACAAAGTCGCTTTCTCTGTGTCGTGTGCTTTAAACATAAATTATGCAACGAATTTTGACGGGGCTTTTTTAATAGATAGAGCGATCGAAGAGGAATGTTTATATGTATAGTTGAGAAATTTGGTATCAGCTGCAAATTTATGGCAGCCCGGTTTAGGTTGGCCGGTTAGCTGCAAAGTATTGGCGGTCCCGCTCTGGTGTTGTGGGTGTCTATAGCTTTACGTGCTCAAGGCGTATGAGTAAGGTTACCGGAAGCCTACTAAGCCCCCCCTAATTCTCTCTAATCCTCAAATCCGTAATCCCCATAACCAACAAGGCATTTGAACTCCTCTGGTGTTCCAGGAGTCCATACTCTTTGCTTACCATCAGATGATCCGTTTAGTTATTTGCAGCTCCATTAATAAAACACAGGGGATAGGTTGTGCTTCTACCTAGCAACTTTATGGTGATCAGACTCACCCATATACTCCAAATCGAACTTCATCTTGTGATGGAAAGGTGCGACCGGCGACCACTTGTTCTCCAGCCTCCAAGATACTTCTAGGAGACCAGCGCATTTCAGGATGAAGCCTCCTTCAGGCTGTAATGATAACACGTTAGATGAAAGATCATCATCATCATCATCATCATCATCATCATCATCATCATCATCATCATCATCATCATCATCATCATCATCATCATCATCATCATCATCATCATCATCATCATCATCATCATCATCATCATCATCATCATCATCATCATCATCATCATCATCATCATCATCATCATCATCATCATCATCATCATCATCATCATCATCATCATCATCATCATCATCATCATCATCATCATCATCATCATCATCATCATCATCATCATCATCATCATCATCATCATCATCAAATAAAAGCGCGTTATGCGCGTAACCTCATTACAAAATTTTTACTTTTTAAAGGTATCTTATGTTTTTTGTGTAGGGGGTTTATTTTTTAATTTTTATATATTAAAAACTTACATGGGGCTCCATAAATAGGGAGTTAGCGTATTTATTAGCTAACCGAGCGAGGGTCGTGCGCCTGGAGCGGTACCCCTCGGCATAACTGCGCAGCACCTGAAACAATGACATAATACCAAGATTGAATATACGGTGTGTTATGTTGAACCACGGTCTGGGGTTGCGGGTTAAGCGCAATGAGTCACCGCGGCCTCGGCCCAGAGCAGAAGGAACGGGGGTTTTTAGAAAGTAAGAGTCTGACACTCTCATTTTTTTTGTCGGGAGAAAATCAGAAAAGTCATTTGATGATTTTCTCCCGACAAAAAAAAGGTTGAACAACGATATTGAAGGAGCCGATTTAGGATCTCAATTACAACAACTTTTTCATGTGATATCCATCCACACATCATTTTTCTTTTTTGATATTTTTTCGAATATTTTGTCAAATTAGTAATGCATTTTTTTTTTTTTGAGACAAAGTCATTCTTTTAAAACTGCTGCAACCCGTGTAAGCAGGTATCTACTGTAGTTACAGGGCGCTCGTTATTGTGTTACGTTGCTGATCTTTTGGAGATTAGAGATTTGGAGATTTAGGGCTTGGGGGAGAGAGAGGAAAGATTAGGCCTCCGGTAACTTCACTCACACACAACGCTGTGATTGTTTCACACTGGTTTTCTGTGATGCCGTGGTATCACTCTGGTCAAGCCGACCCATTCGTGCCAGAATGGCCCTCCCACACTTGCTAATGATGATCAATATCCTCACCTCCACAGCATCACTGGGCACCTTCAAGCTTTGCAGCACAGACTTGGAGAGCTCCAGTTCATGGGAACCCTTCACTGGTACAACTCGGAGACCACGGTACGAGGTGGGGGCGAATTTGTATGCCTGAAATTAAAAGAAGCTGGTTTAGAAATAAAGAAATTCTATATTTATTTATGTAAGATATTTCAGAAGTTATTCGCGAATTAATGGACAATGCCACCGGTTATGGCTTACACGAAGATGAACCTTTTTTTTTTGAGGAAAAAATCATCAAATGACTTCTCCAGCCCCAGGGTAAGGCGAAAGAGAGCCATCATCATCAGCCTATAAGTGCCCACTGCTGAGCAAAAGCCTCTTCTCATACGGAGAAGGTTAGAGCATTAATCACCACGCTTGCTCAATGCAGGTTGGCGATTTCAAACTTATAATTAGAAATTATAAGTCTAATTATAAGGTAACCATGACTTATAATTAGAAATTACTATGTTTGTAATCACGATGTTTTTCTTCACCGTATGTCAGTGGTGTCTAAATAATCATAGAAAGTACATATAACTCGGAAAAAGTCACATTGGTACTTGCCAGGTTTCGAAACTGCACCCACATGCATAAGAAGCGGGCACATTAACCTCCGGGCCACCACGACATTTCAGAGAGAGAGTGTCAGACTCTTACTGACAGCCGTTTTAAGCCGAGGCCGCGGTGCCTTATTGTGCTTACCTCGCAACCCCAGCTGATCAGATGAACTTACGAACGTATAAACATATTGAAACAGACATTGTTAATTACTATATTTTTCCCGCGACTCCGTTCGCGTGGAATAGTGACTTCCTGCAGATTTTTGCTTCAAAAACGAGTTCCAAACTATTACTGTACTAAATTTCACAGAAATCGGTTCAGTAGTTTAGGCGTGAAGACGGAACACGGAACAACTCTTTGTGTGATCCACAGATTGTTGTTCCGGGTCTGGGTGTGATGTACAGGGTGTCCGGTAAAGAATGGATAACCTTAAAATGCCTTTTAGTATATCCTTTGGCCATTCAGAAAAAACAACGAAAAGGAAAGTATCATAGGTAGTACCTAAATTATTATGTCTTGAAGTAAAAGAACTGGGGCTACAGGTAATGCAAAATGATCCTTTAAAATTAACGTTCATTACATAACTGCATAACCACGATGATTAAAAACATTGCTTTAAAAATAAATTTTGCACGAATTGTCTACAATAAAAATTTGCAAGTTTTTTATAAAATGTTTATTTTCGTATTTTTTTTTTTTTTGTATGATATACTTAAAGGTATTTCAAGGGTATCCATTCTTTACCGGCGACCTGTATACATGAATTTTGTTTGTAAACGCACCCACGACACAGGAGAAAATCCAAGTGTGGGGCAACATTTAAAAAAAAAAGGATAGATAGAGAAGATAGTATAGATTTATTGACATTTTAGTAATACTTACAGGAGTATGCATGTAAAATGTAATGGTGAAGGGTATGAGGTCTATGCTGCACTCCGCAGTCACCTCCTTCCAAGTTCCAGGCTCCGTTATCGGTGGCTCACTGAAATTATATTAAAAAAAAAATGTGTTATTCATCAGTTTAAGTGTGGGAGAGCCAAGCTTCGGCACGAATGGGTCGGCTCGACCGGAGTGATACCACGGCCTCACAGAATACCGGCGTGAAACAACCCACAGCGTTTTGTTTCGATGTGTGAGTGAGGTTACCGGAGGCCCAATCCCTCCCCTTCCCTTATCCCTTCCCAATCCTTATATCCGCAACCCGGCCGGCAAGCACTCGTAACTCCTTTGGTGTAGCGACTGTCCATGGGCGGCGCCGATTGCTTACCATCAGGTAATCAGTCTGCTCGTTTACCGACTTAAACCATAAAAAAAGTCCCTTAGCTCCGGCGTTCGCGCTCTTATTGTTCTTATATTATGTCTCCAATTACCACGATTGAAAAGTTAAAATAACTGTATAAATTTTATTGTCACCAGACTAAATATTAAAGAATCTTACAACTAATATTACTAATATCATATGCGGTTCTGACCCGGAGATACCTCTCAAAAGTGGTTTTTTCCATGCAAAATTTTGGTCCTTTCTAAGGTTATTTAGACACAACTGACAAATATGGTGAAGGAAAACATAGTGAGGAAACATGGCTTATAATATTTTATCATAAGTTTGGAACTCCCAATCTGTCTTAGGCCTAAAACATACACAAGCGACGTAAGGCAGCAGGCGTGGAACAGGCGTGGCGCGAATTATACTGTAGCGGCGCGGCGCAGACACGCCGTTTCGTTGCCTGCGTCGCTTCAGAATAATTCAAAAACGTCGCCTGCATACATTTTGTATGAAATCGTTTTGAAGCGGCGCACGCCTTCGCCACGCCTGTTCCACGCCTGCTGCCTGCCATATAAAAAGATGACTTTACACAAAAATCAGATACATACTTAAAAGCAAGTGAGGATAAAACAGTAATATTAATTTACAGCAGAATTTAGTGGTTGTAATATAAAAAAATGTGAATATTTGCAAGTTTGTTTTATATTGTTTTTTTTTTTTATTGCAGCAAACGAGTTGACGGATTACCTGATGGTAAGCAATCCGCGCCGCCCATAGACACCCGCAACACCAAAGGAGTTACGAGTGCGTTGCCGGCCTTTTAGGGATAGGGGTTGCGGATATAACGATCGGGAAGGGGAGGGATTGGTCCTCCGGTAACCTCACTCACACGGCGAAACACAACACTGTGGGTTGTTTCACGCCGGTTTTCTGTGAGGCCGTGGTATCACTCCGGTCGAGCCGACCTATTTGTGCTGAAGCTTGGCTCTTCCACACTTATTTTGTTTTTTGTTTGTTACTCTTTCACATTATTCCTATCCACAGTTTCCCAGCCACCATCTCAACCGTACATACAGTCAAATATTTAAATATTAACTTACCCTTCAATTTTAGGCTCTTCGACCAGCAGTTCCACTTCAGACTGCAATACAGTCAAACTTGTTAGCTCTTGAGTTGCATGAAGACATGTTTTCAGTAACGCCTGTTTCAGTTTCAACTCGCTTATTGACGGACCTGTGTCCACTGCAAACGGGAATTCATCTTCCGAGTCTGAACTGCAATGATAAAACAGAAAATCAGATAAAAATATAAGTACATATTAAAAAATATACATATTTATTTATTTATTTATAAACACACATGCACATGTCCATATGTGTATGCACCATTACCATGTTTTGTAGTAAATAGGGTCATTCTTGTTTTATTTTATTTATTTTATATGTCATGCACAGTGGCCAGAAAGGTGGACCTAAAGCCTTAAGCATTCTTTACCAGTCAAGCCTTGGGTGATGCAAAGAAGTAAGCAAATAAACTCAATTTCATTTGTATTTTAACATAATTTCATTTATAGGTACAATGTGTTTTGTATTTTTTTTATAATCAATATCCAACAATATAACATGCATGTCAAACATGGAAATACAGTGTTGCTGTAAAGAACAAAATTATCACATGCCAGGGAATGGAGCGCAGCATGTTCCATATAAAAAAAAAAAACAGAATTCATCACTCAAAAATCAGAGAAGCAAAATCCAATATCATATGCACTTAGACTAAAGTGGAAATGGGCTGAACGTGTAGCAAGGTTGCAGGACAATAGATGGACAAAAATAATAACAACATGGAAAGGACCAATAGGAAAAAGAGGAAGACCGCACACACAATGGGAGAACGATATCCTACGTGCAGCTGGAGTACGCTGGCTAGATACAGCAAACGATCGAGAAACATGGCAGTCTCTGGAGGAGGCCTTCACTTCAGGGGTTCATAATAAACTAAATGAAAAATATATTTTTGTTGGAAATGTAAACTTTTTGTTTTTAAACTGGGAAATATAAGGCTTTCTTATTTTTTTTTATTTTCTTTTTTTTTATTTATTATCCAACAATGATGTATCACTCCTATTTCTTTACCACTCAAAAGTAGACTGGCAGAGAATACCTAAAATGTTAACTTTGAAATTTTTAAACCGCCAGGGTTGCGGGGTAAGCACAATGAGGCACTGGGGCCTCGGCTCAGACTGTTTTAAGTCAGTAAAGGTAGTCAGTAGTGCTATAAATACTTAAATAAATATAACTTGGTAAACAAGATATTAACAATGATCATTTAAGGTGTTGAGGAGTTCAGTCAACTTATGGTTTTAATCTATAATACAAAAATTTGTTGGTCAGCGCATAACTTAACAACACCTGCTGGACCAATAAAATTGTACCAATTCTTTTTTTTAGTATGTTTCTAATTTTCAGGAGAAGGTTCTTATTAAAGAAATTTTTAGAAAAGTAGTGGGCAGAACTGGGAAGAAATTCTTTCATGAACTATATACTATAACATGAACCTAGCAAATTGACTTCAATCATAAAAGATTTTTTTTATACATTTAGTGTTATTAAAAAAGAATCTGTCATGATTCTAATCTTCTTTTCTCAAATAAAACTGAATAGCTAAAAATGTTTGTAAGCGCTAATTTCGAGAATAGCTGAGCCGATATCACGGAGGTTCTTATTAAAGAGAATTCGGAAATAAAGTTGAAGGGAAACAAGCGACCCATTTGTCATTCTTCATTAGCATTATAGTTGAAACCATGTACAACATATGGACTTCATTATAATAAACTAGAGATCCGCCCCGGCTTCGCACGGTTACGATGCTGATACTAAATATTGTTTTAAAAATTTAGGCATACATAGAGATACAGGCACAGAAAGCGACTTCGTTTAATACTAGGTGGTGATCAAAACTTAACAAATTCCATATATTTACAAACATACCTGTCGGAATCATCGTAAAAGCTGATATTTTTATGATTGACACGAAACTCATCGATAGTTTTCTCGTAGTATTTAATTTCATCTTCTATCTTATCTTTATAAGCTAACAGAGCCTTTTTCTTCTCATTTATCACATTACTATGAGACATTTTCACTTTTTAAGTCAAAATTAATTCAAAACAACTAATCAACAGTCCACCATCTTCCAACGAAGTTTTTCAAATTTATTTGTTTTTTAATAGTGTTGCCATTCGTAAACTTAACCCGTGAATACCAGCGCCTAACAGATTTGTGATTTTACGGTTTTTCTTCTGAAATTTAAATGATGGATTAATGAGCACTAAAATTAGTTTTATATATTTAATAGACATTCAATAAATCATATATTCGTTGATTTTAATTATTTATCATCGCTCAAAATAACTAAACAAAAACCGAACTTTTTAAAATTCTAAGCACAATGGAAACAGTTACAAAACGGGACATCAAAATGACATTTAGTTAAATCGGATACAAACCCAAATTTCACATTATTATTTTCCAACACAAAACAAATTAACTGCTGAATTATTAAGACCACATTCAGTATGAACAAATAAGGCACATTTACTAAAACAAAATCAGCACCTCAACTTATTATAAAAAATATTATTGCAAAAATATTTTTGCACATGACGTAATTCTAATTAGAATCCGAACGATGATATTATCGAAACTTATTACTTGTCAAAGTGAACAGACACAGTGGCCTGTAAATGTTAATTTAATAAAAAAATATTGTAATAAAAACGCAATAATGATACTAGATCTAGTGCAATATTAATAATTAAACTATACAATTAAATCCTAAAGGAACTCTAGGCGTAAGTAATGCGAATTCCACCAAAAACAACTGGATACGACGAAACGAATTTAAAAAGTCGTGTTTAAATTAAAATAAATATAGTAAACATGCGTACACGGGGTTCATAGTTCAAGTTTGTGTGTGTTGTGAGACATTTGAAGTCCTTAATTTGTTAAAAGGACTTTATTAAAGAAAATTCTGTGATAATCGCAATCGGAGAGGATCGTGGAAATAATTGAAAATGGGTCAAACTGGCAGCGCTGTGCCTGGTAAGTAATGTTAATTTATGCTCTAAATAACAACGAGAACGTTCTAATTGGTTTCTAACTGGAACAAAAAAGGTTTTACTGATTATAACCTCTTTTTGTGAGTGTAATTTTTAATGTTTACCTTATTGCTACATTCCGTTTATAATTACGCGAGGGAACATGATTCACGTTGTGTTTTTAAGGTGAATGTATCGGAGGATCTATGTTTTGTAAGAAGGTGGATGTTTAAAAAGTTCTGATAAGATATTTTTTGAAAAAAAGAATGTTTCTTAGTAGAGTAAACTTTATAAAATAGATGGCTAGTAAGAACTATTTGCAGTCTACAGATTAACATGCCTAGGATATACCTCAATGGTTTTTGTAGGTCTGCATAGTGAGTTAACTAATTTTTAATTGATATAATGTTAGATGAACAATAAAAATCCTGGGTCTTGAGTTTCTTCTTTTTGCACCATAACCTTTTTTTTGATCCAGCTGGATCAAAAAAACTGAGGTACATAATTACTGTATGTTCCTATATGGAATCTCTTCCTGCAGTCCTTTAAAGAACAAATGAAAGAGACATAAGAAGAAGAAAGAAAGAAAGAAGAAAGAAAAACCATTTATTAGGCCACAACATATAAAAGGAATACAGGTACACACACACAAAAAGCCCATAGTGCGTCACAGCGCAAAAGGCTGGAGCTCAGCTGACACTGTGTGACAATATAAAACAAGAGGCGAGAAGAAATTTGGGAATCAAATCAGTGGTTCCAAAGATTACCTCCTACATACAAACTTACAAATTTTACCTCTTTATAATATTAGTATAGATAATATATAAATATGGTTATAACGATTATGTTTCTTATAACTAACTAAATAAATTTTTATTATAACTTTCGTGAGACATTCTAAATTATAACGTGAGTAAGCTAAAAACATAATACATAAATAAATGTTTTATAATCAATCTGGTCAGGGCCAGAATCCATGGTTGTTGTTGATTGCTTATCATCAGGTAATCTATCAGCTTAGTTTGGTGTCCCTTCAGAAAGAAAACAATTATAATTTATTATATTTAATTATGTGAATACATTATTGATCAAAGTACATTACAAAAAAAAACTAGAAAAAATTACAACATTCATAAACAGTTTGACATATTTATTTTAGATATGGTGAACACCCAGTAAATTCTTAAAACAAATTTAGAAACCTTATTCCTTCTTACTAGTATTATAAAGAGGTAAAATTTGTAAGTTTGTATGTAAGGTATGTAAACTTTGGAACCGCTGGTCTGAAAATTCTTTCTCTGATAGATAGCTACAATGTTCCTGAGTGCTATAGTAGGCTATATAATATTATAAATGATTTGCGTATTTTAGTCGAACTATGTATTATGCACTCCTTTTAAATATAAAACTGCAAAGCCGCAGGCAGAAATTAGTCTTTTAATATGGTAGTTGCTAAGTTAGTGCCGGGGTCGCGGGTCCGCAATGAGACACCGCGGCCTCGGCCTACAGCAGGAAAAGGAATGGGGGGGTTTTTAGTCAGTAAGAGTCTGACACTCTCTCTTGCCTTACCCTGGGCGGGAGAAGTAACTTTTACAACCCTTATTTCACACTCCTATTACTGCTCCAACCCCAGTTTATTTATTTTATGACTAAATTTTTTTATAAGTATTGAATTTGACCTACTAATTGTTAAGTAGACAGATAATCATCAAATAAAAACAAAGCTATGGAAGTGATTTCATTGTTAACTTGTATTCTGTAACTGGGTTAGTTATATAGCTATAGTTATATATGTCACCGGAAAATAACAAGATCCGTAAGTTTATCATTTTACTAGGAAGTTTATAAACTTTCGTAAGATTCTAAACGGGAGATAAATTGTAATATTTTACGTCCACATTTTCGTAAATTTATCAATTTCCGAGTTTTTTATTATTTTACGAGTGAGTTCAGTAAGTTTATCAATTTACGAAAATGTGGACGTAAAATATTACAATTTATCTCCCGTTTAGAATCTTACGAAAGTTTATAAACTTCCTAGTAAAATGATAAACTTACGGATCTTGTTATTTTCCGGTGACATATTTAATTTAATGATAATTGCAAACATAGGTACTTTGATATTCAAGGGTAAATTTATGTAGTTAAAGAAAATGTACCGTATGTATTATGTTTTAAAGTGTAGTTTACATTAAAACAAGAATGATGCCATGTTCCTTGTTCATTTTTTTTTTATAAATTCGACTTTATCGTGATTGCTGTAGAGTTGATTGTCTTTAAACACAGTAACTTATGATTTAAATTATATTATTAAAGGCATTTTTGAATAAATATTATATATTTAAGGATTTAAAAAGTGTCAGTCTGTCAGTTAGTCTTTTTATAAAGCTATTATCTACTCTCGCGCGGTTTCACCCGCTGCTCGGCTTTATTTTCTCCTAGCGTGATGATTTATAGCCTATAGCACTCAGGAACATTGTAGCTATCTATCAGTAAAAGAATTTCGGAAATACGACCAGCGGTCCCAAAGATTACCCCCTACATACAAACTTACAAATTTTACCTCTTTATAATATTAGTATAGATTTGCTCATTACATTTTTGCTCTGGGTAAGGCGAGAGAGAGTGTTAGACTCTTACTGACTAAAAACCACCCTTCCTTCTTCTCCTCCAGGCTGCGGTACATTAGACGGCTTACTCCCGCAACCCCACTCCTAAACCCTTTGGGGGTACGGGCGTCCATTTGCGGAGCTGATTGCGTGTGTTCCATCTGCTCATTTTACCCCCTTTTTTTAAGAATGGGCAGTCGTCAAATGGCTTATCTCGCCCTCTAAGCAGTGTCAGACTGTTACTGTAGGTCCTGTCCCGAGCCGAGGCCGCGTTACAAAATTCCGTTTGCCCTGCAACACCGGCCCGGCCGAAATAGTTTTTTAAACATAAGATTTTCTTCTGTATGGTCTCAACGAGTTGCCAAGCCAATCCGCCATTGTGCAATCCATAAAAAAAATATAATGATATATTCACTTCTATTTTACGCTCCGGTGGAAGATCATCTCAATGATGTACCTTTTTTAATGTTAATTGCATGGATTACCTGATGGTAAGCAATCAGCGCCGCCCGTGGACGCTCGCAACAACGGAGAAGTTACGAGTCCGTTGCCGAGCTTTTGGTATTAGAGATAGGGAGAAAGATTGGGCCTCCGATAACCTCATTCGCACGACGAAATACAACGTGGTGGTTGTTTCACGCCGGTTTTCTGTAAAGTCGTAGTATCACTTCGGTACAGCCGACCTATTCGTGCCGAAGCATGGTTCTCCCACACTTGTAATTGTATGTACCTGACCGTACCTACATTAGAAATATTTGACTCAAAAGGTCCTAAAGTTATGACGTCACAATAGAATCAGCTGATCAAGTGTGCGTCGGCCATTTTCCCATCAGCTGATTGAGCAGATTATATTGAATGTAGGTACACAGGTAATAAAAATAATTTGCGGTTTGTTCGAAAAAAAAAATCGAATTGTACAATTTTTGTAAAGAGTTTTTATATGTATTGTGCCTTTTAGATATTATTATGTTGGTAATAATAACTTTGGCAATGTTTTAGGTACGGGTTCCTTATACTTAATACTATATTTATTTTCTATGCAATTAAAAATTTATCGTAAAGTCTTTTGTAAGTGCATATATCAATAACGACAGCACTAATTTAGCTTTTTTTGTTGTGTTTGTTACCGTCACCAAGAATGATAAGCGCGTCCAAACAAAAAAAAATCTTAAGCTTTTTAAAAGAAAAGACAACAGGACGATGAAGGCTATTTTTTTAATTATTATTTGTCCCTTTTTATCTTTTACCCGAGTTTACCCCCATTAATTGTGAAACTGATTTAAAAAGAGTATTCATGGAGTTTCTTGCTCGTTTTTCTCCATAGGAATCTACACTTAGGAACGAGCAAACAGCTTCACTAGAAGACTGACTGACAGACTGACAGCTTTTTATCTTTTTTCAGTGTTTTTAGCATTTGTGCCGGATGCTGACTCCCACACTTAAACTTTAAAGATTTCCTTAAACCATTGACGATCCCTAATTTTTACATAAATATT